GTGTTCTCTGATAAACTTTCGTTATTTCATTTGTTCTCGGTAAATGAAATTTCAGCCTGTTTGTATCTTGATATTTGCCAACATGACGACCCAGACTAATGCCACTGGTTTTCGTCCAGAATGATCACTTTGAAACACGAGTACATAATTAATATTTCTTAAATAATGATTCGGCGCCAATATACCGTCATCGTCCTCTCGTGTGGTTCGCGCATATAAATCCTGACGACACCGTGCGCTGCTTCTCCGTACAGAAATTGGTATGCGAAATCCGTGGTTATAATTTGTCAGACATTATCTGCCGATGTAAGATGCGAAACTTTGAATGGATGGTAGTAACTCTAAGAGGGAAGGTCCCGCTTCTCCAAGGAACCCTCATATTAATTCCGAAGGCCTAGCGTTGTAATGTCTGAGACGGTCCCGGGGGTGGCGTGAACGCATTCCCTTTAATGACCGCCAATCAAGTCGTAAGATACGCGATCATCTCCACGATTACATTGGCATGGACCAATTACCGAGACTTCGTCTTCAGGCAGAAGGAGCAGAATCAGGCAAATTTTCCAAGAAACCAAATACCAAATACCTCACGAATTTCGTGCGGAGAGAGTACCGGAAATTCAAAAGAAAAGAAATCCTTCAGGATTTCAAACACTCCAAAAATCTAACAGGACAGAACCTATTGGCAATTAATTACTCTTACGGATTCTTTGTTAAGGGAGTCTGTAAGGACTTCACAGGATCATAATCCTTTTTTTCCCATTATTACACAAGGCAAACATTCTTCCATCAGGTCCTCTGCTCACCCTAGCAATGCTCCTGAGGAACCTTCGTATCAGCCTTTCACTATTTCTACCCCTTCGGTAGTTTCTCTCTATGCCTCAGCATCTCTTACGGATACTCGTTCTACGGATCTCCGAGACCCACGAGCCAGTAGCATAGTCAGATACATTCAGAACAGTAGCACACAGGGAAGACCAGGACACAGTTAACAACCCTGGTCTGGCGACGGTCGTTAGCAGAGCCCCTTTCCAACCCCTAAACTCAGACTACGTTCGCGTGATGCTACGCGCCAGTACCACTACCCCCTTGAAAGCCCGCGTGGAACCAACCCCCACAGCCCTCCGTCTATATACCTATAGAAGAAGAGCCAGCGAGGGAGGAAGTCTCGCAAGGGTAGTTTGGGAGACCAAAATGGTACCGCGGGCCCGAGGATGGTCCATTGATGGCTCCGAACCTCGTAACATTAATTTGTATGGCCCGCAGATTAGGTCAGATTAGGGTTGCTCCTATTATACAAGCCCCTATCGGTGCACCGAACTTTCCTAGGTGTTCCCAGACGTTGCTGTTACATAAAAGTTTAGGGTTGGACTCGATGCTGCAGGTAAACAGCGAGAACCACGTTCGTCATAAATTTCATCAGCTGTTTCGATTAACGTAGTACGAATTAGAATCGATTTCGATAACCACCCTTTTACTTATTGGAACCTATCCACGTTATCGCCCTACAAAAAGGCGCAACTGCTGACACTATGGAATCGAAATCGAATCCTTTTAAAGGGAATGTCCTTTTAACTGTGTCCCAGGTACGTTATCCTGACGATAAAGTCCTGGAGATAATATATTCCCGACGGCGTGCCCGAGAAAAATACAGATTAAGCCTCCTAAGCACGGATTTAACGCTTATTTATACTCCGCTAAGTACTCGCATTACGCCGTATTACACCCTTAACAGCTGCCCCAACTTTTTTCCACCCCATCCGCCGTCTCATCCCTTACTTACTTTGCCCGCCGAGCGTAACTCTACCTGCGAGTGTAACGTTTGCCCGTGATTTTCACAGCGATCGATGGATCAGACGTGTAACGACTGTGCGAGATTACCTATACGAAAGAAAGAAAGAAAAAAAAAAAAAAAAAAGGGAGAAGAAAGGATAAAATATCTCAATTGGAATGGCCAAGGTCTTATAAGAGGTTGTTCCAGTTGTCTGGGGGTGGTTTGATGTCTTTAGAAAAAGTTCAGGAGCAACGAAGGAAGTTAAAACTCTGTTTAAAAGGAGCACGAGAAGTCCAGGCCAGTTTTAACTATTTGATTACAACCCCCCGTGACCCGTAACTTGCCGTTACTGCCGGCAAGCTCGAAACTACCCTTACGCCAACACTTCACCCTTGGCTTTCAGTCACACGATACTTTGTTACGGCCCCGTTAATTTTAACGGGCTTTACGTGCTCCCGATTTCTTTAACTTTTTCGCTTTACGGCCCCGCGAGTCGCTTACTTTTTCTCTGCTTCTCTTCGTTTCTTACCTTCTTTTCTTTTCTTCGTGCTTCCCATCGGTTCCTTACGCTTCTCAAACGTTTCTCCGACCATTCGGAATCCAGCGTTGGATCGTATTCGCTTAGCTTGAGGTTAAATAAACTCTTGTCACTCTGTTATTAGCTTTCTTGCGCGAATTGTCTTGAGAGTATATATAGATATACAGGGGACAGTTAGCACGTCGCCTCCATTAATATGTATTGGCGAGGAATTAGCATGTAGTCCCCTGAGCAATATTCTTAGCTTACGTATACCATTGTGTATAAGCTAATGTCCTTGCACTAAGGACCTCGTGAATAGTTAGCAAGGATTCCAGGATTGCCACCCTATATACACTGCAGACAACTAACTCACCCCTAATGTCCTGCTTAGGCGAGATTATTGTTCTTAGGAAATGTACGAGGAGAGCCCACCGTCTTGGGATCCCTTTACGAGGTAATCGGCATTAAAATCTCTAATTTTTTATAATTTATTATAATAGTATAATCATTGTATAAGGGTGATTTTTTTTAGAGGGCAGAAGGAGTCACGTGACAGGAAGTAAAAGATTTCCTTTTTCTGCAAAGAGAAACGGCGATCCCGGTGCAAGTAAGTGGAAAGGAGTGAAAGGGGAAGGAAATCGCGGTGGCTTAAAATAATGGTAATTTTCCCAGCACGAACCCGAGTTAACCCTGGATAACTGCTCCTAACCACCGAGCGGTTTATTTCAACGTGGCGTTAGGCGGCGTTAGGCAGTGTTACGTGGTGAGGGGTGACTCGAAAGGCTGCCGAAGGGGTTGGCGAGTGTCGAGAAGCTTAAAACGTAAAACGGAGAGGATGTTATGACAGAACTGCCTGGAGACCCTAACTACAGATAAGCGGTCAACCATAAGTGGTCACCTGGCTCGTAGGCAACTATTACTGAATATTGAGTTGAGGGGTTAATAGTCGATTTTCAAATTTTGTAAAAAAATTCAACTTTTTAATTATTTATATTTATTATTTAAATTTAACAATTCGTATCTACTGTATACTATTGTCAGATTCTGAATTAGAGGTGAAATTGCATTGTAGAAAATTCGACGATTGTAGATCAAAGCTTGGAATTTCGATAATTCCCCCGTAGGATGGTGAATCGACTAGCCGTAGGGAGTAAAACAAATCCGGTCCTTCCCTCTCTGTAAAATGTAACTGATCGTTCGCCGGGTGTCGCTCTCACGAAATATCAGACCAGATTGGCAATGACACCCGCGAATACGATATTCCGTACGGGAAAATGTTTGTTTTTGACAGGAACCCGTAGATTTTCCGTTCCATCGTTTATGTCGTATGAGCCTCGCTTATAATTCACGCATCGAGATATCCGGCTATCCGGTTTCCGATCTGTTCTGGAGTCTGAATTTTTTTACCACGCGACAGATACTTATCCAGGCTTTGTAAATTCGTCTACGATTATAAAGCGTCTATCAGATTCGTGATTTTAAAAAGTGAGAAATTATTTTTACCAAAAATTATTTCTTGTATTATTTCAATGTACACAGGGATAGTCCGTATAGAGGGATGCATTAAAAAAAATAGTACCGGTTAGAATCAGCAATAGCTGACGGGGATTCGCGTGAAAAATCAATTGACGTCCCAAAAAAACTTAATCCGCTAAATAATTTGCAAGGAACGCCGGAACGCCATTAATAGAACACGAGAGACTGATAACACGTTGAGCGTATCGATAGTCAATCAACTTTTGTGACAGTTGCCACGAGAAACTCTGTCGTAACAAGTATTTCCCATCAGCGCATTCCGCATGCAAGCTCTGTAGAGCGACATTCCCGCCAGCAGACACCTTGCCAATTATTATTAGAGAATCTATACGGTATACGGTGATACCTATGACAAATATAAATATAGACGACTGAATTTCATTCGCAAAGAAAGTCAAGTGGGTTCAATAAGTCAAAGTCTATCCTGCCATATGCACACCACTTTTGACCTTCGCCCCACTAAAAGATTCACGACAATCCGAGAGCAGCTTAGGGTTCATATATATATTTCTTTCATTTAATTGGATTTCTCAACATATCACGACGCTCGGGATTATTCTTAGCATCTATTGACCAGTTGCATTCTTTATTTAGCCGTAACTGGGTGTCGGATTTCGTGACACTTTTAGTCGCAAAAATTGTCGTAATGCGAGGACGAATCAGATGAATCGGCGCTGGGCGCGGTGCCCGTAGCCAAAGAAAAATTGGAATACCTTTATCCGGAGTGATCTCATACATCCCAAAACAATCACACGGGCAGCCTCTCGCCATTATAACCTTAACTTTACACGCAAAAGCGACGCCGTTATGTATAGGGTGTACCGAAGGAAATAACCGTCATCTGTATTCGCGATAACATCGTAATTGAATGCGGTTGACGGGGATTTGCTATACACCGAGCAAGCCCAACCCTCTCACAGACCAACCCTCTCTCTCTCTTTCTCTCTGAGTCTCGTCCCCTTTCCCTTCTGAGCACTGTCCCATTCTCTCTCTCTCTCTCTCTCTCTCTCTCCCTCCCCTCCGCCCCCTTGCTCTCTTGCTCTTCCCATCTCTCTTATAAACCATCCCACCCTTACTACCTCACGAGTATTAATCATACCAAGGCGCGGAAAAATCTACCCTCCTTCTACCTATTCCATCTCGTTCTCTTACCCTTATCCACCTCAGCGCCTACTATCCCACCCTTATTCATTCTCTCGACCTTTCTTTCTCATCTTCGCGACGAGTCTTCTACGTAACCAGGAAAAGATAGGCTACACCAGGAGCGAATACTTTAATTACATTTTCAGGTGCGATCACAGAGTGTATACGTCTACTCCAGTCGAGGACTCATTTTTTAGACCGGAAGGGGTATATTCGAATTGGCAAATTCTCCGGTCACTGCTATGTAACAGAATGCACCTTCCTCAGGGGTTGGTTGTGCCGACATAAACGATTCGGCTTCTTCGCAACACGGGGATGTCAGGGGGTGCCTTTTGGCTGCGGCCCTTTTAAGGGATGACTTTCTTAATAGCTATTCTTAATTCATAGCAGAATGTAAATAAGGGTTAACTAACTTGGCTGCATCTGGAAGAGAACGCAAGTAGTTCCATGGAGGATAATCCTGAAATGGTCCAGCAATGCGCAGATCGTGAACGTAACTGAAACAGTATATACATCATAAAGACTAATTAAAATAACTTTAAAAAATTGATTTAAAATCTTGCCTACCCGTAAAGAGCATAAGCGTAATCGTTCCTGAGTCCTTTCATCCTACCGCATTTTGTACATCCCAAGCGGCACAGCGTCTGAATCCATGATGCCACCTTAGTCCTGGCATCGGGACACGGCATCATGGCTGCATATGGTCTAATTTGATACAGTAGAAACCAAAATTCCTAGTAACGAAAAAAAAAAGAAATTTTCCTTGTTCCATTAAGATCCATAAAGAAAGCAAATTGCCATGCTAGAACCTCACTATGTCAAGCTGATGGTTCATTTCAAATTGATCTTTCTCGCAGCTCTCATCTTGCTTATGAAAACTGCAAGGCATCTGGAATAGACGACCTCATTTCTACTAGTGGTTAACGGTTAATTATTTATTAAGAGTGAGAATACACGACCTCCTCGTAATTCTCAGGCAAAGCTGATATGTATTCGGACCAGGTCGTGTCCTGCTCCCATTCGGCACAGGGTGCATTGACGACTGTCATCGTAGACAAATCTCTCGTAGCTCCGGACGGTGGATCGTTCTCGAAGATTCCAGACAGCTCGTCGTTGATCATATTAACGGTAATGGCTGCCAAGTATCTTAAACGCGTGAGAATCGAGAAAAAATTATTTTCATACGTCGTCGATATTTTTATTATCAAAAATGTCAATGCCTTATCGTATCTACAAACCTATTTCTCTTATCACGCAAAACCTCCACGTGATACTCAGCACCGAACAATTTATTAATCCATGGCAGCACTCTGGTACGATCTTTGCTGCTCGTTAGAGCTGGTGCCAGGTTTCTAATGGCTGCTCTGCAGAGACACATTTCCTAACCAAATAAACAATCCGTTTCCGTTACGTACCCACGTGCTGCGGAGTTTACCCGTAATATTGAAATTCCGTGGTGAGAGCATCACCCTTGGCTTTTAGTTTGGGAATTGATGAGAGACCGGATAAATTCTTCGCAGCAGCCATATCGTCGAGTTAAGATAAAAATTTTCAAGCGAACCTCAATGACACGTACAATGATTCCGGAAATAAAGGAGAATCTACTAAAGTTTGTCTATTTTTTTTTTTTTTTTTTTCTTTTGTCGATACGAAATTTTGTCTCGCGTACCGGATACCGGGGAATCTAACTTTCTTGGAATCTCAATGAAATTGGACTGCGTTAAGACACGTGGCCACATTCCAGGGCCTAGTAAAGTCTTCTTAACATTTTCAAGCGATAAAGTTTGACATATGAGGCCGCACCAAGGTCTGGCCCGACCCCCCTAACGAAAGGGATGTTCGGCTCATAACGCAGTACAGCTCACTGCTTCGGGGAGTTACTTGGCGGGGTTGAAAAGAATCCCAGCCTTAATGTTCTAGACGGTACCCTTTCTCATACGGATGGTACCAACATATACGTATCCTTTCTACGCTTCGCTGACACAGTTTGTGTAAACGAAATAGTAGCGGAAAAGCGTGTCTTTTGATATTATTTTTTTACCACCCCATGAATCTTGCGACCCTCGTTAGAAAGTAGGTAAACGATTAGAACGAAGATACGACTGATCAGAAAGTGTACGTGAAATTTTGTCGACTTCTGAAGAGACCACGGTGGTAGGGCTTGGTTAGTCGACCCTCCGCAAAGATTAATTGGAATTTTCCTGAAGCTCGTCTCGGGCGCGCGAGCATTTTCCCGAACATAATGCATAGCAAAGGATGACACCCTTATCTGAGGATCTTTAATTCCGACCGCAGCTAGGGGTTGCTCGGAACTCGCGTCATTTGTCTGTTGCATCAGCCGTAGGGGGTTGCGCCCTGGCTGGAGGTACCCACTACGTACGTAAACTGAGAGCGGCCAAAGGGAGGAAAGCCAAGAGACAGAGAGCGAGCGGCGCTTCACTCTCGACTCTCCGCAGGGGATGGAAATTGCCTGAACTGATTTCATTTCGGGATAGATTATTTTAAGGGGATGTTTTTCCCGGGGTACGGCATGATTAATGCGATTTTTTAGAAGGGTCCAACTCACTCTAACGTTTCATACCACGTGCATGCACCGTGCTTCTTCCTCTTCCATCTCTCAATTTCAATTTTTGTTCTCCTTTATTCTTCATCCCCTCTCCCGCACCCCCACACACGCGCACCCCCATCCTGCCCTATCCACAGCTCTCGTTCTCGCTCACTCTCTCCTTCTATCTTCCACCACATTCGCCAGAGAAAATCTAATTAAATTTCTGCATGCTTCGAGCCGATAGGCACAAACGGCCACGCAACGTACGCACACGTATCCGCGCACTCGTACGGCAACTGTAACGTGCGGCCGCGATAATGCGCAAGGCTTAACGTTGTGTGTAAGCTGGCCCATTAATATGAGCTTGATTACGTGCATTCCAGCGGGAAGTTTCATTTTGCGCGGAAAATTCAATGCCAGTCGGGGAGAATGAAATTTCTGCGGTACACGTGTACCCTGCCGTGCTCATCTGCCAATTACGTATTTGAGTAGCGCGCGGATGGCTACAAAAGCATGATCGCACGACCCAACAGACATAATGCAAAGTAGCGTGATTTTATTTTTTTTATTTGAATTAATTCGATTTGAAAGAAAGAAAAAAAAAAGCCTTGAAAGGAAGCGAAACGTGCCCGCGAGTTTTGAAGAGTTTCAACATCCCATTATAAAGTCTTCGTTGAATATAATAACAGCTGACTTCGTGGGCTGGAAGACATTAGGGAAATCATTCCCCCGGCAAATCGACCAACTTCCCTTCAAAGAAGGTACTCCTCCGTTCCCTTTTACTTCTTCCTTTGCTCTTTCTATACGCATCCCACCTGTGTATAAGCCACAACTATTTTAGCCTGACCTGCATGCATTTCACTAACCTCTTCTTCCTGCAAGCGGTTTCTTCTTGTCCTGTCTCAATTGAGGGATGACTTGTAGTCGAAGGGTTGGTTTGGGGGGGGGGGGGGATGAC